TAAAATATCAAGATATAAAATATCACAACTGGCTGTTAACTTATGGAGCAGTTTGAGGTTTTTGTCACCTCGGGAAGGTGGGACGCAGTGAGGTGGCAGACTGTATGAAAGGATGCAACATAGTGAATGAGGTGACACAAGTGAACATGCTTCTCACCTCCTCTCTTGGAGGAGCGAGACGATCTTGAGGAGGTGGACCACTGCTTGGTGAGCACACCTCGTGGCTGCAGAGTTTCTCCCCCTGAGCTGACAACCACATCCTCTGCTTCAATGGAGCTGATCGCTTCTTTCACTTCCTGATCTTTGTCTGGAGACGGAGCCCCTCCATTGGCCTCGGTGGCCTCATCGGCCTGGCTGAACTGGGCCATCTTCCTGGCCAGGGCCAGCTGAGTTTCCAGCTCCAGCTCCCTGATGTCCTCCATGGTCAGACCGTACCACTCATCCTGCCAGCACCAGGCCTGCCGGTGGGCACGCACCATCACCTTTCTCAGTCCTAGAGAGTTATGATGGGAGATGTTACAGAAAATCCTAAAGTGATTAACCCACCAATTATAGTATAGTGTAAGGTAAAGTAAACTGTGACACATTAAATTAAAATGTCTTTGAACATCTGTGATCGTTTATTACTCACCAACATCATGAATGAAGCGCTCAATCTTCGACTGCATGCCCCAGTAGCGGAACTCCACCTTGCACAATTTGTAGGCACACATGATGGGGGTCTTCCCTGGGTTGTTGTTGTACTCCTCTATCCAATCGTCTTGCAGGGGACCCCTCTGGGTCTTGGCAGACTTGTAGAGCCGTGTGTCCTCCTCTGCTTTGTACTCGTGAGGGGGGATGGGGTCTGTCACTATGTCGATTGGGTCTGACAAGTACAATTCATATTCAGAAAACAGTGATTCAAACAGCCTGGTGTCTTGATTGTAGTGCACATGTTGTGCATGCTAGTCGGCAGGGTAGGCAAACTTGTATGGGCTTGTGTTTACAGGTGGGAAACTTTTATAATTTAATTTCTGTCTGGGAAACACCAACACAAAATTGATTGACTGATTCAAAATAATACAGTTGATGTTGTCACCAGGTCACAGCTCGGCTCATCACCGGCTCATCCACTTCTGAGCACCTTCATCTTCATCAAATGTGCACTCAACCAAAGCAAAATGGATGCAGTAACATTAAACTGCCACAAGTGGGCCTCACCTGCTGCTTATGTTTGAGTAAAAAGAGGACAGCTGTGAAGACACCATCTTTTAATATCCGTGTTTATGTTCAGAGTTAACACCAAAAGTTCTCACCGATTGTCCTCTGCCTCTTCTCTACTGCAGACATGTTAAAGACGTCAGCCTGGTTGCCTGTGTCGGGTTTGTAGTAGGTTTCAATGTCGATGGAGAACTTCTCAACAAAGGGACAGGTGTATCTGAAGGAGGAGAGGAAACCAAATTAAGAAACAGACTTGGAACAACTGTCATGCAGCAAGAGTCCAATATTGGTTGACATCTGAGTGGCTCGTGATCCAAACTATTTTATTGAAAGTGACAATACCCTCTCGCTGCTGAGGATAGAATATGTGCGAGCTGTACCCATCTGTTGCATCTGAGGCGTCTGGGAGCAAAGCTGTCAACGCTTTAATGGACGCATCAACAGGGGCGTGCATTCTATCAATATCCAGACACGACAGTCAGGGATGCATCCCTTTTCAGCACCTTCACGTCTGTGTGTTTGCCAGGCCCCTCGCAGACAAACAGACTGACACAAATGAGAACTGGGGCCATCGGCAGCTAACAGCCTGGGTGCAGTGTTGGCCAAATGCTGATCTGATGGTCTGCTGGCCGGAATATTCACAGTTTGATCTGAGGTCTTTATTTTCTTTTTTTTATTCCTTTTTATTGAGGGAAAGCAAAAGCAGGACTTTAGACAAGGCACAAACTCACACTCATTTAATTCTATATGGACTGCATACACTAAATATATTCATTTGAGTTTTCACATATCTTCAGGTGCAAGTTGATATCTTTTGTATTTAAATGTGTGTGCACCTACCAGCTGCTGTGTTTGCACACCACATTATCGAAATAACAAATTCAGAGTTTACACGTGGCCTCAGCAGAGTTTAATTTCCTCTACATTCCTACTCTGACAGGGTGCGGAGGTGGAGGTCACCCTCACCTGGTGCGGGTGTAAGGGTAGGCGTTCCAGGACTCCTCTTCAACTCTCAGCGCCGCTTTGGGCAAGATGGAGCGGAACCAGCTGGGAATGTGCATGCCAATGTGGTAGACCTTGTGGGTGTACTGGCCCGTCCCACCTGGTCCATCTGTGTAGGGCTTATTCTCAAGGATCTCCACCCCACTGCCTTCACCACAGCTCTCCTCTCTGCTTTTTTTCTGTGAGAAGAAGATTTAAAGTTGCAGTGAGTTGGTGAGGTGTTTATGTTTGCATAAAGTGTATAGCAGTATAGTACAAGTATAACATTTCCCCTTAATCTGAAACATGTATCTAAGAAGTAACTAAAACAAATGGACATGGTGCATTTTGCAAATAAAAATCTGAAGTGTTGGACGGTGTCAGTTGTTATAAGAGCAAACATACAGGCACAAATACAAATAGCTCCCTGAAAGCTCTATCAGCAGAGAATTGCAAATGAGGAAGCCCAAAAACCCGCTTGTGGAGCCACACCTTTCCCATATTTACATTCCAGGTGCACAGGGAAAGACAGGCAGGGCGGAGCCTGCAGAGGCAGCTCCAACAGCCAGGTGACTCTAAACAGGAATGTGTGGCATGGTATGAAAGCAATGAAACAGCAAACCTAGACAGTAGAGCATAGTCCAAGTGCTGACGATATTAAAACCACAGGGAGCAAGGGGCAAGGAACATGAACACCAGAGATTACTGACGTGTCATCTTTTCTGCCGTCGAGCAGTCTTTCCATATACACCTCAAAGTGAGTTTAACGCAGTATTTAGTGCAGCGGCAGGATAATAGGGAGACAGATTTCTCCTGTCAGTCCAGTGGGGGTGAGCGACAACGCAGGCGAGGCAGTGAATCAGTGGAGTGGAGGGAGGAGGAAGCCATGAAGCAGCCAGCACTCCGGACCTCATTACCTCTGACAGGTCATTCATTAGCCACCCGCTCGGCTCTCAACAGCACAGACAGGGCTCTGAAGACATAGCGCAGACGCCACAGCAGCCAGCAGACGAGACGGAGCAACACAGACGATGTAAATGTCAAGTTTAGATACACATACAAACAGTATAAACATGTCACCATGAAATCGACAAATAACGACTCAATCCAGATTTTATGCAATCGTGGGAAGGAAGGGTTCAACAAAAACACAATGCAGCATATATTTACATTTACATAGATCAGTTGACCTTTCAAGTAAAATGATTACAATAAGATAATTAGTGACAAGTATTATTATGTATGGAAGAAAAAATTGCTCCCCAGCAACTAGAATGGCACCCAGTAGAGCACATACAATCAGTAAGGTAGTCACCTTAAATTCAATCAAGCTTTACCAAATAGTTCTTACTAATAGTCACCTAAATGAGCCTGATTTTTTATATTAAGATCCATGAATTATTCTCTCAGAAATCAATGCTTTTTCTCACAATGTTAAAGAAAGATGGATCCAAATCAAAATGTTATGGGTTCTTCTAACCCATACCGCATCCGTCCACAAGGTTTCATGGAAAGGTATCTAGTTTTTGTGTAATCCTGCTAACTAACAGACAAACAAACAAACACAGATGAAAACTCAACTTCCTTGACACAGGTAATATTTTTATTGTAAAATATTATCATATCTGGATGTTAAGTGAGCAGTCCAGGTAAAATAAGCTTTGCTGTGTTTTGTGGTGGACTGTCCCTTTAATTAGCAGACAGGTGACTGCAGTCTGTCACAGGCAGCGTCCCTTCTCTTCCCCCTGCAGCAACAGATTATTCTCCCCAAGACTATTAAACACTGGCCAGGGCCTCAGCTGTTACGCTGGGGGTAAAAAAGGGGAAGTGGAGAAACAGATTATATCATTTGTGTACAGATGTAAGCTATATGCAAGGGGAACGGAGATGAAGAAATAGTTTTTTCAAGTGTGTCAACTGACTTCAGAGGTGAGGGAGGTTCACATTTATAACCTCAAGTCCTGCCCTACAATTTGGCCACATCGCACGCTGCCTCGCTTCCACTCACCTTTTCTTTAAACAGCCTCCAAACACCAAAAATAAAATCTGTCACAGTGAAAGCCCACTGTATGTGTTTAGAGCAGACAGCTCTGACAGGATGGGAGTCACATCCTGGGTTTTTTCTCTCACTGTCAACTTAGTAAGGAGCGTTTCCTGTTTGAGATGCTGCTTTTCGCCTGCACTCCACAGACACAGTCACTTCGTCAGAACACGATGGAAGTGTGCGAGTGAATGAGACACACTGAGATCCTACTCATATTTAATTTCTCACACATTCTGCATTGCGTGCAAAAGTGCAAATCCCTATGCAGCGATGATCAATTTACAAATAGCCATCAGATAAGACGCCAGAATAGTGAAGGGAGAGGAAGTGAGGGGGGAGAGATGAGGTCTTGCTTGCTGGGGTGCAGATTTGACCAGACTGTCCTAAGACCCTGGATTCGTCTGTGAGGCTTACATTGGGGATGGATTGCAGGTAGGCAGGTCGACGTGCTGCGGTTGCCCTGACAACATACAGCAATGAAGCAGGGGAATCTACAGACACCAGCAAAATCTTTGTTTCCTCTCAGCTCAGAATACATCTCTCTCTCTATCACTCTCTCTCGCTTTTCCTTCCACCCCCTCTCTCATTTTCTACCCCTCCCTCCCTCCTTCGCAGTCACTCTTTTTATTCTTCATTTCCTCTTTTTATTCACTCCCTCCCTCTCTCAGAACAAAATCCCAACCACCGGCACGCTGCTGATGTCATGTGTTGCCATAGCGACAGAAGCCTCACAGCAACTGTGGCTGTGCGGAGAGGGTGAGGTCAGGGGGAAAGGTAACTATGGGTCACTAATGTAAGAATTCCTCTCGCTGATGATTTGTTTACATGCTTGAGAGTGCGCACACGCAAAGTGATTCTTTCCAAAGACTGAGATGTTGTGCTATCTGTCTTCCAACATCACGTCAGGTTTTGCACAACGTCCTGTGTGACAAATTCTTACGCAGGGCATGCAGAGGATCTCAAAGCAAGGCAGATCAGAACAGATGCCATAGTGTGCACCGGAACCTGATTTAGTTAAGCACGTACCATGTATTAAAATGCGGCCCGATTTCAAATCCAGCCCGAGCCCTTTGCTGCATGCCCTGTCTCTGTCCATCACAATAAAATAATAAAAACAATACTGTAGTAATGTGTTCCATATAATTAATAATTCTCCACAGTACAATGAAATGATCCAGCGTGCAGAGGTTTGGCACAGTGACTAGTTTGTGCCGTCTCGAAACGTCTGCTTGCTTTGGGGCATGTCCGCTGAGTCATGTTCCCAAACATCTTTCAGCTCAACCAGATTACCTCTCGTTTTCTACACCAGGGGGACAATACGAAGACAAACAGAACAAGAGACAAGTTAAGTCAACTGAGAAGTCTGAGAACGACACAACTCTTAACGTACTGTGCTGTACTCATCAATTATTATTCTCTTTGTGCAGACAGGACAAAGATTTTATAATGACAAATAACTACAGCTGAAGCTAGTAGAGAATGTTGGAAACACTTCGTGCCAAACTGTTTTTGTATTACTAAGATTTAAAAAAAGGAAAAGGAGACTGCACAGCTGTAGCGCTGTTAATCAGTGGGTGGTTTATTAAGGTTATTAATTTTAAGACAGGTTTGTCAACATACATGCTTATTAATTTTGGGTGTAAGATTAACAGTCGTGGGAGAGACCTCTCTCTGGGGAGGTCAACCGTTTGCAGGCATGCTGGGATTTCCTCAAGGTTTTAATTTTTAACCTTCCTCAATGGAGCTGCTTCCTGAGGCTACAGCTCAATTGTTACCTCCACCACGGAGGTTATGTTATTTGTTTGTTGGTCTATTATTAAGCAGCATTACACAAGAACTCCTGAACAGATTACCTCAAAAGTTAGTGGAAGGATGTGGTATGGGTCAGAGAAGAACTATTTTAATTTTGGTGTGGATCCAGATCAGAGAGCAGACTTTTTTCTTTCTCTTTCTTTAACATTGAGAGATAGGGCTTCTTTTTTTTTTTTTTTTTACATTTTAACAGATTTCTCAAAACTAAACTTGAAATCAACAATAAAGCTGAAAAACGGCCGATCTTGGAATGTTAAAAAAAGTGATGAAAAATCCCTGGATCAGCACTCAAATGTAATGGGTTCTTCCTAGACCCATACAGTATCCTTCCACCAAGTTCCGTGGTAAACCGTCCAGAAGTTTTTCCACCACATCACATAACCACAGCTCATATCCCCAGGAAACCTCTCTTGTCTCAACTTGTCTCAAATGATAAAAATTTAAACAGGGAAAATACAACTAAATGTCTAAAATAGATCTAAACAACAAGTACTTGAGGTCCGTGCCTCTCCTGTGCGCTGCTGCTCTCAGGGCACCTGGCAGTACCAGTGGATTAAATAAATCCTCCTTCATGTACATGTGCCTGAAGAGGAGAACACACATTGCCACATAGGATAATTAAAGCTCATTTCCGTTTAGCATCTGTAAACTATACATGAAACTATCAGACAGACAAAGCATCATGTTCATGTCCAATGTGAAGTGTGTGTCTGCACTGAGTTTCCAAAGAAAGCAATGTGCTCCCACCCTCCTCCTGAAGACGCAGGCAGCCTATGACGAATGGAAATAACCAGCTTCAGAGAGTTTAAATTGGATAATCTATCAGCGTACAAGCTCTCTTTGTTCCATTACTCCACCAGGGTCAGACACCGTGTGACCAGTCATTTCATAATTGGGCACGCTGAGATTGCAATCCAAATCCTGTGTTCATTTATCTCCTCTTTGACTGCTTGTTTTCAACCACCGGCTTCTGCGTCACCTGGCTGTTTTGGGGAAATTGGCGGGCGACGTGGTGAAGTTGTGACCTCACCTGGATCATATAGAGCTGGGCGATGCGGTACTCCTCCACACTCATTGGCATGGGGATGCGGTACTCCTTGATGAGCATCGTGAATCTTGGAGCAGGGGGGAAAGGGGGATGAGGCAGAAGACTGACAAGGGAAGGGAAAGGGAGAGAGGGAAGGGAGAGGGAGAGGGGACAGGAGAGACTCCGCGGCTTCTATACGAAACTCGTCAGACCACCAGCTGCAGTCCACATGGATGATTCCTGTGGGGGAAGAAGAGGGAGGAAACGTTAGGTACGTAAACTGTGAATATACTTAAAAATAAATACCGTCACTTATCCCATCCGCTGACGTTAGTTACAGTCAAAACATGATGTTGAGTCTGATGCTGGATCTCTAAAAATACTTGATTCAAACATGTCATTCAAGAGCAGAATCCAGGCTTCAATCAGCAACAAAATTCCTCATGAGCAAAGATAGCAGCACAGAGACTAATTTCAGAGGCGACAAGATTCCTGTATGTAACTCAAGGTAAACAGCTATTCTCGTGGCTCACAGTGTTATTCAGAATATTTGCTCAATGTAGGTACAACGTCTGGTCCGAGCCTTGGCATTGAGGACAAGCATTGCCGTCTTCTCCGTCCAGCAACAAAGATCCAAGTAAGGCACTTCCCAGGATAAACTTCTCTTCTTATACACAGGCCACAGCTCAGTGTGTGTGTGTCTGTGTGTGTGTGTGTGTGTGTGTGTGTGTGTGTGTGTGTGTGTGTGTGNTGTGTGTGTGTGTGTGTGTGTGTGTGTGTGTGGGTTGGGTGGCGGGAGCCTACAGAGCACCCGTGCCTCGCCGGCGGTCCCTGCAGCCACCCCTGTCCCTCCAAACCCTTCAGCACTGTCACATGGGGGGCTCACTCAGCATAAGAGGGATTACAGTTGAGTGGGGGAGATTTACATAACATTGTAAGACACGCCCCCCCCATGTGTGCATGATCGAAGTTTCACAAATAGCGGTCTTATAATCACACGCAGCAATGTTTTCGCACCACTGGGCAGATGGGGGTAGGTGTGGGCTATACATACGCAACGTGTGGGTGGCGTGAGTTGCTCGAGTCTCTGCTTTGACCGCTGACAACTCTCCGAAGCAGATGCGAGTACAAAACAAAGATCATGACTGTACAGCACTGAGCTGTGGTGGAGTGGGAGTTTATCTAAATTAAATATCACAGGTGTCAGCTGAGGTGACACGTTCACTGAAGAGGAGTCAATAAGGAGAAGAGAGATTTCCACACCAGACAAAAGAACGCTTCTGTGGAAATAAGTGATGGCACGCACAAAGATGCACAATATTAAATGTTCCTATTTAAAGAGAAGTAACCTCAGTCCTTTAAGAGGAAAACAATTAACACTGTTACTGAATTGTAGGTTATGTTTTAATATATTTAGTAAACATGGATATGTAGCATCTTGTAGAAAAATACTCATTCCCATATGCTCACCATACGTCTGATGGAAGCAGTGGATCTTAGTCACAGAGCTAAGGAGGCTGCAGTGTACAGTATGTGTGAGGGAACAACAACACTGTCCTGGCACAGCCTGCGTTTGGCCGCCCAAATGTGACCACACTGCATTACATAACCCCGATTTTAGCTCAGTTCTGACCTATGGCAGCAACTGGACCTCCCTCTGGCACCTGGCCACTCTGTCTAATCACCCTAATCACAACAATAACTGCGTCCAGCGAACAAAGTCCAGCTTTGGTGAGGGTGCTGGTGTAACTTAAGGGGCGAGGTAACCCCGACAACTACCCAGTGAAGACACACCCACCTAATGTGTCTGACCCTAACCCTATCAACATCCGTCCTGAAAGATCTGATCACAAGAGTGTGACCACTTGTGATTGGATCTCACTTCCCCATTCAATATGAAAACACAGATGCTTCCAAACACACTGGGAGGATAGCATTGCCTTCAACACATTTCTTATCTTTATCTTATCTTAGAATATCTTTGCTTTGCGCAGAAAAAAACGATACATTGACAAAATCAGAGCAAAATGCAGCGTTTTGCTGAAAATAACCGCACACTTGGGAAATGCTGGGATAAAACTAGGCTAGCTGAGAGAAAAGCTTGTAGCTCAGGGGCTTGTGGATGCGAGGCCTCTGGCTATGAAAGGGGAAGGACATCCTGGTTGACAGTGCCGATAATAAACAGCTTCACAATCTCCTTGAATGACGGCACGATGTGGAAACAGTTTGAATGCGGGTTGCAACTGATGCGGCAACAAACTTTGTTTTTGAAATCTAATATTGGCCAGTGATTGTGTTCTGATTGGGAGTCCGTCTGCGTCTGAAGACAGACTTTCACTGGTCTGATTATGAGCCGGAGAATCATCAATAGCCCAGACAGCTGCCAAAGACACGGCTACCCGCATACAAGGAAGTGACACCAGGAATGTAAAGAGAGACAGGAAAAGCTCCAGCCAGCATAACGGAGCCCCAGCATTACTGTGTTCAGCAGCACGTGTCAGGAGCCTGCAGTGATGAGACCGCACACAGATCAGTTGAGATGCTGGTGTATGTGAAGTAACTATCAAGCAGGATTAGGACAAGTTTGCAATTTCAGCTGAAAAAGTTATCTGTATTGTTAATGAATCCGTTTATATGTCCGTTAAATTAAATGAATAAAGAAGCATGTTTAAAACTTCACAAAACCCAAGCTGGTGTATTCAAATAGTTTCTTGTCTGCCAGCAAATGCTTGGAATTTTTTCCCTCATATTAATCTTTTATCTATTTTTGATTTATTCTTTTTAAATGCTTCTTTGTTGTATTGTCCTCTGTTGCTTTCACAATAAGCCATGATGCCTTTCATATTTTATGTAAAGCACTTGCTTTGTCTTAATATAATTAATTCTCAGTTGATCTATTGATCAATCAATTTTTACTTGACTTTGCCTTTAGACAAAACGTTTTTTTTACAAATCAAATTTCTGTGGTTTAATTGAACAAAAATAAATTAGAGCATATGCACATCTATACATGTATATATACACAACTATTTGGCCTATGTCACAAAATATAATGAATGTATAACAGTTTATGTTTGGATTGATTAATAAGACTAATTTTGTTTAACTTTCCTTGCAGTGACTGACGACAAAAACATTTTTAAAAGAAAACTTTTGCCATGTTAGGTTTTATCTTCTGGTGGGAGAAACGGCCAAAGATGGATAAAACCAAACTGACATCCACAAAAATCTGTTACATATGTTCATATCAACAGCATCAGCTTGTGGTTTTGGATACATAACAACATTATAGCACAACACACACATATTTATACATTATGGTTTAGATTGAGTATGAAATGTCCCCTTTGATGACACACTACAGATTAATAGGCCTGGGTCTTCCACAAATATCATTAGTTTGTCTCGTCTGCAGCTGTATTGCAGAATCAGAACTGCACTGAAATGCTGTAACTCTGGTTGAATCCTGAATCTTTTTCTCTCTGACTGATGCAGATGCTGTGCACACCAAAGGACCTGTAATGCACCATCCACCAGCACCCTCGAGAGAGAGTACTGGCATCATGCTTGACCCAGAAAAAAGCCCTCTCACACGCCGAGGTTAAAAATAGCCTGGTCACAATAATCCTAGCATACGCAAGCAGAGCGCTTGACGTTGTTTGTTCAGAGAATATGCTCATTCCCTTCTAAAAATACCATCTCTGCTCCCCTCTAGGACGTGACGCAATAGCAGCACACGCCAATGCACAGCGCTCATCACAAAGCAGCCTCGATGTTCCTGCTCCTGCTCGTTTCCACAAAACTGAAGCAAACGATAGCTACAGGATTCTTTAAGCAGGACTGTGTTTTGCTCTTTTAACCTCTGCTTTCCTAATCTGTGAAATATGCAGCCAGTTGTGGCCGAACCGTGCACCCTTATCTGTGACGCTCTCAGAGGGTGTGATGAAACAGTCCCCCAGGAAGGAACATGACTCTTAAAATAACTGGTTATTCTTGTATAAATCTGTTTCAAAGCTGAATTAGTCAGAAGCAGTAGTAAATATTGTGGACACTCTTTCCATATAACATGATACGTGATACAGCAGCAGCCCCAAGGAGGATGCCTGCAAAAACAGCTACATCTGTGTGACAGCAAGAGCCAACATAAACAATCAAGCGCTCAAAGATGTGCACATCTGCTCACCTCTAAACAGGGATAAGTGTCTCGACTTAAACAGATGAAACCTGCTTACTCTCCACAGAGCAGAGGCTGGATTCTCTGTCACAGGCCGAGGGCTCTCGCTGCCACCTTCACATTAAATCTACCTTTTGCTCCGAGATCCGTTTTCCTTTGCCACCTCGGGCTGCTCTGTGCCACGATAATGGAAAGTGGCATCGCTAATTCTGTCTAAAGGAATAACAACATATCAGGCTGAAAGCTAACAGGTTGACCACAGGACAGGGAGCAACAGCTGGGTCTTGCTGTGGACACAAAGTAGAATACGGTTGGGTGGAGTCACTCAAAGGTTTTTTTCCCCAAAGGCCATAATGGTAGTGCTTCTTTAAATTTAGCCCTGTTTTCCAGAGCACCACTTTGAGGCGGAGTGACAGACGAGGTGATGAATCTCAAAGGGTGAGGGAGGGGAGGGAGGGTGACACGGGCAGGAGTTCCCTCATGGCTGACTCGAGGCAAGACCCTTAAAACACAAGTGGAAAAAGTTACCCCCCCCCCCCCGCCGCATCGCCAAAATTACCATAGATCCGTTTCACACAGAGCTGACACTACGCGGAGACGACTTCAGCTATGACTACCGCTGCAAACACACACACACACACACACTCAGCCTGTGACAAGGCGAACCCTTGATTGAGCTGATGGGTTTATCCAGCTATCCACTTAAAATGTCAAAGGGCTTTAGACAATGCTGTGCCATGTGACCGGAGTTTGCCATCCACCAAAGCAAACAAGCACACTGTGCAAATACGAGACTTTTCCGTCCCATTTTAGTATCTAATAAGGGAAAAATATGAAGCATCATCAGTCAGGGGTTTAACTATGATAAATATAAACTACTTGGTTCAAATGACTCAATACAACATTGATTTACAACCTACAAAACCTGCCCCCCCTTAGGGCTTAACGAAGATTGGGATGTACGCTTCTCCCTTCACTAACTTTTACTCCCATCTATAAATCTGTCTGTATTACAGTTTTAAAATGTACTAAGGGAGCATTTACTTATACTTCATTTGCGATTGTG